TTCAAAGATCTACTCAACTATTCTATTCGCTTAGGTTATTTTTACTATGGTCTGATTGTTAGTTTGTTTTTCCAATTCCCTTCATTATCCATTCTATTTATTTTCTATACTCTTTATGTTTAAGCGTAAATTATAACTTATGTATTCAACTCTCTTTGGATACAGAAGGCCCATTCGGCACTCGGTAACTTGAGTCACCTGTGGCGCCAAATGGTTAAATATGCTACTGCCTATGAAAAGATGAGTATACTACACTGCAGTTCATTCTGTCCTATTATACGGCTGTGAGACATGGCCGTTAAAAGCATAAGAAATGAAGTGGTTACAGGGTTTCACTCACAGTTGTCTTCGTAGTATTGCTCGCTTTTGGTGGAATAATTGTGTGATCAGCGTTGGGGTCAGATGAAGGGTACTAGGCAAGATAAGCAAGCCGATTGGTGAGATTGTGTACCCTCATGGGCTGAAGTGATTCAGACGTGTTTTATTCATGTCGAATCACCGCCTACCTCGATTTGTTATGCTAGAGAAAGTTAGATTGGGTTGGAAGAGGGTTCAAGGTGGCGATACCAAGACGTGGCACCGGTCGATGAAGTGTCTGACTGTTGGCCTCAGTCGTGTTAGAAAATGTAGATTGTCTGGCTGAAGTCCCTGAGACGAAAGGAATCAGTGTTTGGAAACTGTTGGTGATATGGCTGAAAATTGACGGGCTGGATGTACCATCTGTTTAGCGTCTTCTGAAACTTCGATATTTCTATTAGCCTTTATATTCAGACTGTCAATTATCTCACACAACCACTTTGTTAACAGTCTTTTTCTTTGTTTCCTGTACTTTGTGTACTACTGTGAAGTGTGGCAACTTGAGGTGATGTATCTACATTTTGCGTTTATTCTGTCTGTCTTTCGTAATATTTCGTTGTATAAGTTTAGTTGCATATCTTTGTACTTTCCACAAATAGATTTGTTTTTAGTTTTGTAGCTTTTACTTTTTCAGACTTTTCGTCTTCTCAATCACTACTACTGAAGAAGACATATGACTTGCTTAAATTTAGCATCTTTGTTTGTGTATTATCACAATGTGGATTTCTCATACCTGAAATTCCTTCTTAATGTAAGATGTCAGACGTTAGGCTTAGTGTTGCGTATTCGAAAACTATTAGTGTACAGCATTTTAATTTCTTTTCATTTTAAGTTTTATCACGACTATCTGAGATATCCATAGCTTGGTAGACCAGTATTTATACTGGGTGATGATTGAAGGTGAAATGAAAATCTCGACCGCGGCCGGATTCGAACCAGCGACCTCGTAGCTCAATTGTCATAGCACCGAGCCTGTAACCCGGTGGTCGCCGGTCCGAATCCCGCCGCAGTCGAGATTCGCATCTCGCCTTCAGTCATCACCTAGTATAAATGTTAGGTTTTGTTTGAAAAGTGGAATAAGTTCACTTCTCGCCTTCAAATTCAATTTACATCAACAAATCCTCCGATTCGAAGATGCAATTTTCAATGATATTGTGGGCTTCTTGAGAATTGGGTAACAATCGTTACGTAATATGTTCATTCTAAGCAAATTAGTTTGAAGATTATGCTTCCTTGGATGAGGCTAGATATGTATCTAGAACTCAAAAGTAACATAAATTACGACTTTGAAACCTTTCCATAAATATTTCATAAATTTTGCCCACTTTGTAAATGCTATTGTTTAAGCTTGTAACGGATTTTATTTGAATACGGACTTAATATTTTTATCGGAATATAATATCACCAAACCAACGATGAATTTTTGAGAATTTTCTTATTTATCTTTACTGATGTTTGCGTGAAATTGTTGCTGTTTTGTTTATATGTTGCCTTATCAGTTCTGGGTTCAAGAAGTTGAATCACCTCAACTGCATCTACCTTTACCCAAACCAATGAGTAGTATCATCAACCCTCAAACTAGGTGTGACTTATAGCGTAATTTGACTGTTGATATTTCAAGTGTTTGGTCATACTTCCAATCTTGAATCGTCTATTCAGTCAGACAGCATTGTTATCTGGAACTCACTGTGAAATGAAGCATGTTATCTGTGATCAATGAATTACACTTGTTCCTTTATTAAATCATGACGTTGATAGTTTCTGACAATTCATCGATTAGTGGTGCTATTGTTAATTTATATTGATTATGTAATAAATTGGTTCTTCATTTTAGAATATACCAGCTTATTTCAGCAATTAAGAATGCTTGTACCGAAGTGTTCTAAGACAGCTAAACAACATTCAGTTATGTGTAAAATTACCGTGCAATGTGATACAATTATCCCACTATCAAAGCTAATGAGTAACATTTCGATCTGTATATTGCTGAAATTTCGGTCATTTTTATTGACCCTTTGTTTCAGCTGATTTCACTTTTTATTCTTCCTCAGGAAACCAGTCATAGGAGCAGTTTTTCTTTTAATTTTACCCTTGGCTAATGTATTATATCATCGCTGTTTATAATTTCCTATGCTTTTTTATTATGAAGTTTCCTTTTGATCGAAAAAAGGTTCGTTCGTAAGCGAACGTATTTTCAATATGTGAATCTCTTTGTGCCTCATGTTTTAGCTTTCCATTAATTGACATATTCTAATCAACGTAACATTTTTCAATCATTTTATGAAGATAATTTTATTTCTGTTTTGTTTGTTAACCAGGTTTAGCTGACGTCTATTTATGTATATCATGAAAGAATTGATCTACTGCTAATTCTGTTTGTTGATTAATCATTTTGTTTGGAGGTGTGTACTGAACGGAATAGTTACAAAGCATTTATAACGAATCCATTTCACAGATGAAGAAAACTCTGATGAATAATCTAGAATGTCTGTTCCATGAATTTTTAAAAATGTTTGTCACGTTACTGAATTACAGTTAAGTAGTTTGTTTTTGTGTATTCGTGAATCAGTGGTTTCAAAAACAGGCTTGATAAATCACCATCAGTCGAGTGTTTTTCATTGAAGTGATAACCTAGTTTTTAGTTAGACATCATTCCCTACTCCTTAAAACACCTCATTAGTACTTAAAAGTAGGCTGGTCTTGATTCAGCTACAACCTAAGTTTTTCAATCCTTATCTCTTTATTTTAAGCAGTCAAAAATCGGCTTTATTCGCTTCACAAATGAGAGCCTATTATTTCTTGTATATAAAAAGTGTACAGAACCTAAATTAATCCAACTGTCAAATGATTCTTGATGAGATATCGGATGAATAAGCTGGGCGTTAGCATAATAGCAAGCATTCAGTTGAATGTTGCATGTTGAGGTGTGCAACACACGCTGATTGTAAAGCTGAATTCTTATTACAACTCATTTTCTAGAAAATCTGAATCAGGCTAATATTTAAAGGTTGAATTAAGATCTTGTTCCGTTGAGTTGTTGTAGTGCGGACACCTTCTTTTAAGAAGCGTTAGAAAATGACTGGAAACGTTTAATGAAAACGACGTCAACTGACATGTAACTTTTATTTTTAAGTAGTTCTGCTTTGAATTTTGAGGGAGTTGTGGGGATTCGGAAATATTTCAAGTTGTTATTCATCGTAGGCTGACACCGGTTGGAGGAAAAAAGAAACCTGGGAGCACTGGACATCTGTTTCGTCCTAGTATGGGGCTCCTCAGCAGTGCTCACTCACGAGCCTCCTCCAACTGATGTCAGTCTACAAGGAATAACAACTTGAAATAGTTCTGCTTTGTTTCAGTGTAGACATATATTACGTGTTAAATTCATTTTTATTTAAAAGTCAGGTTGTTGCTTTACAGTAAATAATACCTAAAGCCGCCAAGCAATCAGTGCATACCGAGCGGCTGGTGTGGCCGATAATTTGACTTTTTCTATCAAGCAACAACCACAAGACTTGAAAAACAGTAGTTCTATACCAGCTTGTTGATTCATGTCTAGTGTGCTGACTGAAAGACGTCAACTTTTCGACTTCAACCCAATATTTGCTATCTTGTCTGTTTCAAAAGATCCATGAATTAATGATGCTTGTATTATCCCGTCGTTGAATGGAATATGGGCTCCTGAGCGGATGCGTCGAGATTGCCTGTGTTTGAGGAACCTATTAATGATGGATAGTGGCTATCAGTAGAATTCCGAACGCCCAACTCATCCTATTTATGACTCGTCAGCTGCATATACCTGCCTCCCAGCCACCGATGTTGTTCCAACCAGGACTCGATCTCAGGACCAAGCGTTTCAAACTCCAGGCCGTTATCCACTTACCCACCCAGGTACAATAACCACTTCTTGTGCAGCGAGTATAGTCTTTATGTTGTCACTTTTATAACCCTGCCGTTGACTGGACCTCACTGGAAACCAGGTGCATCCCCTTGACGGGTCTCAAACAGGACGAAACCCGCGTCCTAGATTCCACTGCTAACCACTATCCGTCAATAATAGGTAACTGAAACAGACAACACTGAGTCGTTCATACAGGAGCCCATGTACCAATGGAGACGGATCAAGTTCAGCCCACTCAAAGACGGGATAATACAAACAACAACACTAAAACTATATTTTTCCCACTGGAAGTGGCTAACGTGACTCAGTGATCCATTAGACAACGCTCTGGAGTTTGAAAACAATCGGTCTCGAGTTCGAATCCTTGTGGGTAGAACATTGCTCACTAAGAAGTAGTTACACCCAACTGACGAGTCCCAAATAGGACGAATCGCACGTCCTGGATTTCACTCCCAGCCACTATCCATAATTAACAGATACCTTGAATTGTATCAAACAGCTAGCCTTTGCTATCTCGTTGTAGCCTATATATGAGTTGGCGGGCTAAGCTTGATACCTTTCATCATTGTGTTATGCATTCAAAGTTACCCTATGCAGTTAAGTGAAATATGAAAACAGTTTGTGTTTGAAGTAAGATATACATTGTCAAGACGATTAACTTCTGAAACAATTTCGTTTGTATTGATTATATTCTTTATTAGCTAACCAATTTCTTTTTTATGCATTTTTTTCCCTCTATGTTTAGTTGGGTGCCACTTCAATTTGTTTTGTCTGTAGTCATTTTACAGCTGGTCAATCGGCTGTTCGTGAACGTAATGATGATTTTCAAGAGATATGCCGTCGCCTTAGCTTACCAAATGGACGTAATATTCTAAGTCATGATTATGTATTTTGGTGTGGGGATTTTAATTATCGTATTAATCTATCAGGAAATGAAGTAAAACGTTTGGCTGTGCAATCTGCTTGGCTTGATCTCTTGCGTTCCGACCAATTAACAATTGAAAAACAAGCTGGGAATGTTTTTCGTGGATTTGAAGAAGGTCCAATTCGTTTTGCACCTACATATAAATATGATTTATTTTGTGATGATTATGATACATCTGAGAAAGCTCGTTCTCCAGCATGGACTGATCGTATACTTTGGCGTCGTGTAAAACTTGCATTTCCTAAGACAGATGAAGACGGCATTGTTTGTATGCAGAGCGATTCTCCAGAAATAAAATGGAATCCAGGCCAGCTATTATTGTACAACAGAGCGGAATTAAAAACCAGTGATCATAGACCTGTTGGGGCGATTTTCGACATTGAAGTTCATGTGGTAGGTAATGAATGCATAAGTCCTAATGTTTTAGTTTTACTTGTGGTATAATAATATACTTCGCTATCAGGATTTATTTCTATCAATGATCTTCGTGTCAGGCTTAAAACCCACTACCAATTTAAACTTAATGAGATATATTGTAAAAGGCCTTAGGGGAACCAAAAGTTATTGCCTACCCCTTTCACTATGTTTGGTTATTAATGAGTTTTACGGGAAGCTACAATATACCACTTCAGAATTACAGTGATTTGTTGTTAACTTTTTAAAAAATGCTTATCCATAAACCGGCGTGCAAAGCTATACACACAATCACACAGTAGGGTGGGATAGAGCGATAGCATTGAAGACTAGTTAGCTGGTTGGAGGAGAGATTGATACCTGAATCTTTGTTTATCGAATCAACACCAAATACATACAATCGAAATGATTCTGTACCTGTCCCAGGAAAATTCTACTACCCTTGTCATCACAGAGGAGAGAAAATTAGGAATACATAAACACTTTCTCGAAGTTGTGGAGTTACCTGATATGAATATGAACTATAAATTGTGTCCGAAACGTTATCCAGTAAATGACACTGTCTCACTGTGTGACGTTTCTAATAAACAGGCTAAAATGCAATTGAAATCGACCACATTTCCCAAGTTTTACCCCTGTATTGGTTTCTAGTTCAGTAGGTTTTGGATTGTGGCTAGTGTATCTTATTCTATTCACTTTGCAAATCTCTCAGCTCACTGTCCGAAGTCTAAACACATTTATGTGAAGCCCACTTTAAAATTTAAGCTGCTGTGATGACATCAAAAGACGATGTTTGTATACCTTTACAGTGAAACACTTAATTACTTATTACCATTTTTCGAAAAAAACCTATTCATTTCTGTCTACAATTATTCAAATAACTTCTTCAGTTGGTCGACTGGATAAAACTTATGATAGACTTAATGTTGTTACTTCTTATATCTCGTCGTTGATTGGACCGAATTGGTCGGTCTCTATTGGTATATGGGCTCCTGCGCGGATGCCTCGATATCGCCTTTGTTTCAGTTTTATATTATTAATGGATAGGGGTTAGGAACGGAATCCAGGACGTGCGTTTCGTCCTATTTGGGACTGTTCAGCTGAACGTACCTGGTTTCCACTGAGGTCCAATCAACGACGGAATAATCCAAGTAACAACATTAAAACCATACTTGTCGCATAAGAAGTGCCTATCGTAACTCGTTGGACTAGTGGATAACGCTCTAGCGTTTGAAGTGATCAGTCCCGAGTTCAAGTCTTAATGGGGACAACATCGGTGACTGGGAGGCAGGTGCATGCAGCTGACGAGTCCCACTATCCATCAATAACATTATGGTAGATTGTAGTTGCAGTAATCAATAAACACATATTTGTGGTATTTCAGTGTATACATAATCATATAAAACTACACTTCAAACTTAGGAAAATCAGAAGAAATCGACAGATTTATGCTGAAAATGAATGGTAATTACTGACAGAATTAAACGAAATACGAGAACGCTACTAACGCAGTTAGGTACTTGAGCATGGATACAAGTAGCAATTGTTCCCCTTCAGACTTCACTGAGCCGCTAATGTCAGAAGACAAAGACCAGTCTATTACTGTAAGGAAAATAACTTTTATTTGATAAAAGACATATCATTTATATACATTTTCTCAGAAAATAAGGCCACTAGATCGCAGGGTTGGGTAGTTATTTTCGTTGGTTAGCTGAAGGACAAAATTGCTCAACAAGGTATTTCTGCCCACACGAAACTAAGGTGGAAATCGAAAACTTCTACCTTAGTGACTGATGACCTAGAATGCTGATTTCAACTTAGGTCGCTTCCTGTCGTAAGTAAATTTTAACGACTTCAAAACTGAGCTTAGATTTTCATGTATGTACATAAAGCTGTGCTGAGTATTTAGCAGTTTAAATTGAACAAGTGTATGGTTTTCAGAACATAGTCTTTTAAATATTCAATCCAATCAGTACTGCAAATTGTGTATCAGATGGGAATTTCTCAGTTGATATGATGTTATACACTTTGTTCTTTTATGCATCAGTAACAACCTTTCTGTTCAGATGTCTTTGGAATCATAGGTGAATTTCGTTGGTGACTACTGAAAAACGTGAAATCCTTAGTATATAAAACGTTTCCTGGTAAATCTCGCATTAATTGATTTAGGCAAACTGATATCAAGCAAACTTACTTTAAATATCATTTTACTGGGTTTACTCTGTGTGCTTTATTGTTCCATTCAAGATTTCAATAAGTATTGCATATCACAGTATCTCCCTGATTTTCACTTTGTATACGCTTACATATATGCAACAGAAAATAAAACACAACTTAGATAAGTAATGCCAAGTATCGTTTCGTTTAAATGAAATGTAAGATGATACTCCAGAACTGATCTACTGCAAGTAATCCTAGTTTAATTATAGGGATTGAAGTGGTGGAATGTGCCTACTATTTCACTTACTTGGAGAGTTGCACCAACTCGAACTGATTGGTTGCTGACGAGATCTCAGTTTGGATACAAAAGACCCGTTTGGCATTCATCAACTTGCATCATCTCCGGCGGCGACTGGTAAGATATCTGACTATCTATCAAAGGACGAGTATATTGCACTGCAGTTCATTCTATCCGGTTGTACGGCTGTGAGACATCACCGTTCAAAGAAGAAGACACGAAACGATTATAGGGTTTCGATCACAGATATCTTTGTACAATTGCTGGCGTTGGGTGGAATTACCGTTTGAGCAATGTTGGGGTCAGGTGAAGGGTACCAGGCAAGATGGGCCAGTCGATTAATGAGACTATTAACCTTTACAGGCTGAAGTGGCTCGGACATGTGTTGTGCATGCTGAGTCACCACCTACCCCGACGTGTTTTGCCAGTAAAAGTTGAGTTAGGTTGAAAGAGTGTTGAGGGTGGCGAAACCAAGACGTGGTACCAGTTGACGAAGTCTCCAACTGATGGCCTGAGCTGTGTTGGGAAGATGAAGACTAACTGTTTGGGGTTCATGGGACGATAGAAATGAATGATGGAGGGCTCCTTGTGATTTAGCTGCAAACCTGTCACATTGATGCACATGTTTTAATCCCTTGTCATCTAAAAGTTGAATATTCACACCTTTATCCTCAGACTGTTTATTCGCTCACTCTACTTTCTTTACTTTGAAATCACTCTTATTCTATCCATCTGTTCTTTGTGTACTGCTGTGAAGTGTGGTAACTTGAGCCGATTCACCTGTATGGGAAGCTCTAGGTTGCTTTTGTCAGTCAGTCACTATTTATGCTTCAGATTTTTGAAGATATTTGTTTGATAATAGTATCCGACCTGCTGAGTATTTAAATATTTTCATTTAAGAAATCTTTCTTTTGCTATTTTTATTTTCTATTCTGTTAAGTATGAAGCGTAAAAATCTGGACGGATGTTAGGCACAAAAGAGTATTGTGAAAGTTTCATTGTTCAGATTATCGACAAACATAGTTTTAGTTTCTGAAGATTGTATTCAACATAGCCTGGCATCAGATGGAGAAGCAGTGAAATCCTTTGAACACTGGGTAGCCGTTTTTCCTTGTTTGGGACTCCTCGTGACTGCGAACCGCCAAGGAATCTCATAGTGAAACGAATCAGCTTCCCAATGCTCCCAGATTCTCAATCTGTAATGAAATATTATCATAATAGCAATCAATCGCCACAAACCAGCTTTGGGATCTAGTTTTTGTCCGACATATTTCGTAGATTAGGAATCTTATGTGGAATAAAATCGTTGCATAATCTCTTTAAACTTCATCGGTATAAGAGTAAAATGTTGATACTGTACTAGGGTATACTTTCGTTCTACATTAATTTGAAGTTGCTGATGTGGAGTATGTTTTTTTAATGAAATGGGTAGATAAAAGACTTGAATTTGTTTTTGAGACAGTTATTTATTGGCTATTATGTTGAGAAAGGAGGACGAAGCGTTCGTTAGTAATGTATGAGAATGTTGTGATTATGTTGTTAAACATTCTCATGCAACGATCATCCATGACTAAATCTTTTTTTTAAATTTCACTTTTTCACTGTTCATAGTTGAACAACGGAATCGCTTTTGTTAGTTGGGAAATAATGAAAGTATAAGAAAAGCAAGTTATTGTGTTAATTATGTCTATGAATTTCACTTATTTAGTAAAGTGTTATATCATTGCACACTTTAACATAGATTTCTCGACAATGTCGACGTAAAGTTATATCCGAAGTTATCGAAGATTATGGTCCAATTAACTCAGTTGTTCAATTGGCATTGAAAATTTTTGAAAGAGACTCAAAACAACAAATATCAGAGAACATTGTACCTCACCTTTTCAATGATACTAATTTCCTAGAAGATATAAAGGCAATCGGATCTTCAAAGCGTGGAACAATTTTACTCGTACACTTCTTAGATCCATTAACTATACTATTAGTTTATATGAACTCAAAGTAAGTTAATTTGACTTGTTTTATTAGATTACTAATTTAATTTCTTTTGTTAGATCTTAAAATGGTCACATTTGCTTCAGAAAGTGAGTTCGAACTAGAAACCTCTACAATGACACCATAAATGAAATGTTTCCTAGTATTTTGATCTTTTGTACTTTCTTCAGGTTACTTAAGTAAATCATCAACAGCAATTCAAAGCTTCTTAAGCTTTGAAGAGTTGTGATTAAAGATGGTTAACATTTTATGCGACTGATAAGTAATTACTTTATTAGACGTTCAATGTGCTGAGACAGTCATCAAGGTACTTTTTCCTTTGTTAGATTTTGATTTCAGTAAATCCAGTTACTAGCATTTTGGACAAGGGTATAAGGTGGGGTTATTTAAATGATTATTACATTTTCATTCGTCACATTGAGGGATCTTAAGGGCCACCCTAGCAGGTGATGAGACTGCCAAGTACGTTATTCTGTTTTATAGAAAAGTACTTTTCCAGGCAAAATACCGAAACTTGATTGGTCTATTAAACAGTTGCTAGGGTGGCTAAAGAAACTTCAAAGCACAAACAAAATATAAAACATAAAAACAAACTTATTCCTTGCTGGAATCGGGTAGACGAAATGACAACGGTTGGTGAAAGTCATCAGGAAGCCGATTGGCCGGTGTCTTCTCTTCTCTGGATGAAAGCAAATGTAAACATGGGACATGGAATGTTTGCACAATGTTTGAATCTGGCTTGCAAGGCTATCCAGATTGCAAAAGAGATGAGAAGGTATGGCATAGTATTACTAGGAATCTGGTGAAGCAGACGGAATGTAAATGGACTCTATCAACTGTCAACTGGCGAATCAATAATCTACTCCGGTATTGTCACCCAGACGACAACGACGAGCACACTAAGTTTTCGAGTGACTGTCGCAATGTCCCCGAGAGCATCGAAGGCCCTCATACAGTGGGAACCAATCCCCTCCAGGATCATGACAGCAAGGTTCAACTCAAAAGGTAGTAAAGTCACAATCGTACATTGCTACGCACCTACAAATAATTCAGATGAAGAGAAGATTAAGGAATTCTACAGACAACAGCAATCAACACTGGACAAGACCGCACCCCAATTGGCGACATCAAAATTCTAATGGGCGGAGTGACATGAATACGAAACCGGGAGTGGACAACTCAGGAAGAGAACTAACCATTGGTCGAGAAGCGCTTGGTGAAATGAACGAGAATGGGGAACTGTTTGCAGAATCCTGTGCATTCAACGATTTGGTGATTGGAGTCAGGCAGTGTGTTCAAGTACAAAGATATCCACAAAGCGACATGGATTTGATTTCACCGGATGGACACACTACACTGAGAATCAGATCGACTTCATCTCAATGTGAAGAAAGTGGAGACGCAGCCTACTTGACACAAGATCAAGAAGGGGAGCAGATGTAGGTTCATACTACTCACTATCTAGTGCAAGGAACCTTCAAAATCAAGTTGAGAGCCTCCAAGGAAGTTGGTGATAGACGACTACAGTTCAAGTTCAACACCAAGAACAAACTGAAGGGCAGAACTATAAAGGAAATCTTCACGTCAGTCAGTCATCAGAACAAAATGGAAGACATTGAGTAGCATCCCTGAAGGATCGGGCATGGAAGAACACTAGAACTCTGTGAAAGCTATGTGGAAGGAGACCTGCATAACCGTATTAGAAAGGAAGAAGAAAGAAGATAAGGAATGGATCTCAACGGACACATGGGAGCTGATGGGGGAGGGAGAGGAAGATGGTGAAGCAGAAGATGAACCAGTGCAGTTCAGGGATGAACAACGAGAAGAAGAACTGAGTACAACGTATAAAACACTGGACAAAGAACAGAAGAGTGCGCACAAAGACAAAAGACACTTCTACGTCACATCGGCAAGTGAAGCAGAAAAGGCTGCAGGTAGGAGAGACAGAGATCTGACAACACTATATCAAATAACCAGGTTATACTATCTGGGAAAAGATCAACACAGATGAACCCAATGAAAGATAGTGAAGGAAACCTGGTTACCACCGAAGAGGAGGAACAAAAGAAACGATGAGCTGACCAGTTCAAAAAGCTCTTGAACCGACCACTACCACGTGCAACTCGTCCACAAATACCACCAGCAGCCCAGCCACAGAACTACCAGCGAAAACAAGCCCTCCGACAGAAGCAGAAGTGAAGTCCTGAATGCCACAAAGCTGCTGAAATCCAGGAAAGCACCAGGACCAGACTGAATGCCTCCAGAAGCACTGAAAACAGACGCACAGACATCTGCAGCGGACACGCTCACACCACTATTACAGAAGGTTTGGATGGAAAAAAAGGTACGTACCTAGTAATTGCAAGAACTGGCGCAGAATCATGCTGCTGTCCATCCCAAGCAAATTATTATACCCTATCATCCTGGAGAGACTGAAAAATGTTCTGGATTCAAAATTACGACCAGAACACGCTGGCTGGCTGGTTTCGGGAAGAACAAATCATGTCCGGATCAAGTTGCAACGCTACGCTACGCATCATCATAGAACAGAGCGTAGAATGACAGTCAACTAAATCTTGAACTCAACTTCACGGACTTTGGAAAGGCCTTCGACAGCGTCAACCGAGAAGTAATTTGGAAACTGATTCAACACTACGGTTTTAGTGCCATAAACCCTTATCAACCTCATTCAACAGTTTTATCCTATATGATGCTATGCCAACTGGTTCACAACACAATGGAATGCTCAGTGGTGTCTTTGTAGTAGAGACAGGAGTAGGACTAGGTTACTGCCTACTATCACCGATGATCCTCCTGATTGTGGTCAGCTGGACTGGATCATGAAAGAAACTATAAAAAAACGAAGAAGAGGAGCATACGCTGGAACGATGAAAAGAGCTTAGAAGATTTTGATTTCGCCTATGATTTATATTTAATGTCGCACAAACTCGAAGATGTACAGGCGAAAGCTAACAAGTTGACAGAAGAGGCCAGGCAACAAAGATGGAACTTTCTTCAGGTAAACGTAGAGAAAACAGAGGAGATGAAGATACGCAACTAATAACAACGGCAACAAGCACCACACACCACGAACGGGAGAAATCTAAAGGAAGTTGTCTGGTTCACCTACCTACCTACCTACCTACCTACCTACCTACCTACCTACCTACCTACCTACCTACCTACCTACCTACCTACCTACCTACCTACCTACCTACCTACCTACCTACCTACCTACCTACCTACCTACCTACCTACCTACCTACCTACCTACCTACCTACCTACCTACCTACCTACCTACCTACCTACCTACCTACCTACCTACCTACCTACCTACCTACCTACCCACCTACCTACCTAGGAGGCAGCATTGTTTCAACTACAGGCGGCGGCACAGATGAGGACATCAAAGCCAGGATCAGAAAGACAGCAAGACAGGTCTTCCTGCATTAATCTGAAATCAGTGAGGAGATCTACTGCACCGCACTGCACTCATCATAAAGCTTGAACAAGGATCGGATTGTGAACACTAATGTCAGTTGAGTAAGTCAGTGCTTCTACGTGATGTTTCAGAGAGTTGGTGCATCATGAAAAGCATTTTCAACAAACTGCAGACACTTATCAACAGCTGCTGTCTCCGCTGACTCGATAGATAAGATCAGATGGCGAGAATGAAAAGAATAAGCAAGGAGTAACTCTGGCTTGCTGGCTGGGAGCGAACCAGCGAAGCAAGAACCCATCTCCCAACAAATATGTAGGAGAAAGTGGAGATAGATTGGATTGGACATACACTGAAAGGCCGATTGGGGACATCACGCCGTCGTAAATTTGGTTCAAATTTAAAGACCACCTCAGCAACAATCGAAATAACTAATTAGGTCTGTTCATCTTAGCAGGAAAGGCAGTTTTTCATAAAATTATCAAGTCTAATTGGTTAAGTTGTTGCCTTTAAAGTCACTTTCAATTTGTTATATCTTCACCTGTTTGTCACGGGATTCTACCAATTGAGTCTTAACGTTGACCTTGCACGCAATTGCTCTCGTAAGTTCAATTCACTGACACGATGAGTCACAAAATTAGCCTTCACAACAGCTTACTACATGACATAAAGTGTTTATTGTATGTATATTTTAGCCGACCTGATTCACTTGTATTTACAAGGCGTCATAATTGAGAAAGATGCAACAACTAATTCCAAGCACAAAAAATGAGATATTTCCCAGTAATGTAGTTTACTCAATATAACATTTTCTTTATAAATGAACTTCGGATCAATTGAAACCTCTTGAACCAATTAAGTCATGAGTAAAATAAACTTTCAAACAGATAAAATAATACAACCGAACGATACTTATCTGAGATTCATGTTTTACACTTTTCGGTTGATGCAATATCATGTACCTTCAGAATGATGTAAATACAAAGCATTACGTAACTATAAGGATAAAATTTGCTTAATATCGCTTAAAGTTTCAAGAGAAAATTACAACCCATTGAGAGAATATAAAAGTGCCCATCAAAGATATACAACAGTGATTATGTTACATTGTAGAGTGAATGTATTTCGGAATATCCACAATTTGAATCGATAGTTAGTGTGTTTGCCACATGACCCGAAAGTTCTTAGTTTGGTAGAGAAGAATATTGATTTTATACAGGACTAAATTGTCCCAGATTAGAATGAAACAACTATCTATTGGTCATGTTTTCTGAATGATTCTTCAACGGGTACCAGTTAATGATAATCATTGTGAGAAAATTGATAAATTCTTTAGAAAACACCCATATGAATTTTCAAAACAGTCATTTTTTCTAGTATGTCTAGTGTTAGAAGTTAATTTTTACTTCAACGTGTATTTGATTCACGAAGATGTATCTGACGTTATGGTCTTAAATAAGTATACCAAACAAAATAAATACCTCACTTATCGTCTCAAATGAATACGTGTTTCTTTGTAGGAAGTCATTCAACGTTTCAATTCTTATGTGGATGAAGTAAAACAATTTTCTTGACACCAATTTTCGCTATAAGTTTATACAAATAAAAAAAAATGATTTAGTCAAGGTCTTTGATTGACAAATAGTGTTTATCAGGTGTTTACTTTAACTTACTATGCTCTGAATATGACCGCCTGATGTGTAGATGTATCATACTGGGACAAGCAAAGTATCTGAATAAGTATCGACTGATCTTAGTTATGATCGAATTGATTTTATCGCCTACGTGCTATGGTCTTCTGTGAGCGTTTTTCGTCTCAACAGCAAATTACTTCATATGCTGTAATGGTTTGTGGTTATGAGTGACTTTAAAAGTCACCTTAGCAACTGCTGAGATAACCAATTAGGCTTCTATGTAACTACCTATAAACTACCTTTCTAGCCGGAATACCAGAACCGGATTGGTTAATTCAATAGTTGCCAAAGTGGCCTTTACAAGTCACCTAGTGACAATAGGATAAACGACTTTTCTATTTGTTCAATAAATTTAGCGCTCCACTGGAAGAATATCTAAATAACACTAAAATGCATATTTGGGAACTTTATGTTCTGTATCTATTCTTAATGTAGTGCAACTGATTCTGAAAACAATATTGAGGATTATTTATCTGTTAGTGGTCTTCTAAAATATGGCAACTGGTAGTTAGCTAGAGGTATGAAGATTTATACAGTGAGTATGAAGTTTTTTCTTAAAGAAACTTGACAACCCACACAACTGATTATCATACTCAGTAGTTGTAAGTTTAATATTATTTTGATCTATCTGGTTCACTGATATTTTTTGTTATGCAATGTACAGTAGTCTGTGTGCAGATGACATTTACAGTATTCTAAATGGAGAATAGTCAACACCAGGTGGAGATAAAACCATTTCGACTTATGTTTTAAAGAACATAATTCGATGAATTCTCAACATAAATATGCACTAATTTTAAATCGAATTATCAACTTATTCACGTATGTGATACTAAAGACAACTTGTAATATAAGATCACATAGGTGAAAGAAAACTTTTGATTGTAATTTTTATCAACAAAGACGAGTGATTTGAAGGGGCACTCCCGCAACGACTGAAGTAACCAATCATATTTTAAGATTTCTCTTGGGATTTCGTTGTTGTTAGAACAGAGGGGCATAATTGGTTGTGTCAGTGGTTGCTAGGATGGCTTTTAAAGTCGCTCGTTATTAGGGTGAGCTTTAAAATCATCCTTATGAAATATACAAAAATGGGAGTGAATTATGAATGCCATTCATTGCATCAACCCGAACGGTTTGGTTGCTGATGAAATCCCATCATTTTGGGTCGTCTGTGGTGTTGATTGGTGAGATATGCAACTATCTTTCAAAGGATGAGTATACTGAGCTGCAGTCCATTCTGTTCTCTTGTTCATCTGTGAAATATGGTCGTTAAAAGTAGAAGACACGAAGCGGTTACCAGGCTTTGATGACAGATATCTTCACAGCATTTCTCACGTTTGGTGGAATAACCGTATGAGAAGTGATGAAGTAAGGCGAGGGGTACTAGGCAAGATGGGCAAGTCGATTGATAAGGTTGTGAACCTTCATCGGCTGAAGTGACTCGGACATGTGTTGTGCATGGTGAATCACCCCCTAACTAGATGTGCCATGCTAGAGAAACCTGGATCAGGTTGGAAGATGCTTCCCGGTGACCAGTGTAAAGCATAACACTAGATGGGCCGTGCTGGAAGATGTGGACTGCTTGACTTTTGTCGCTAAAACGATAAGAATCAGTAATTGAGTAGTCTTGGTGTTATGGCTGAAAGTCGCTAAGCGTGAACAAATTGCTTTCACTATTTGACACCTTCTGTAGGTTGAATATTCGCATCAACCTGAATCTTCAGATTGTTTATTCTATAACGCAACGTGTCTACTTTAATATCATGTTTTCTATCCACCTATTCTTTATGTACTACTGTGTAGTGCGGCAACTTGAAGTGATGCACTTGTGTTCGAAGTTCTATGTTAATTCTGTCTCTGCCTTTCTGTATACCAGCTAAACTACTGACAAGAGATATTTGCAATTGTGTAACGATAATTTTTTCTTCATCTTCCTCAGCACAATAGAAGTTGAAGACTGATGCGCACATTCTTTGTAATTCTTGATCTGAGTCATGTATATGTACAGTTGAAAGATATTCTCACATCATATCATAGTTTGGAAAAGTGAAATAATCCATTTTATACATAAATTAAGGTACGCTAAAAAATCTTTAATCGTCATTTTCAATTACAAAACTCTTGATCTGAACTATACAACCCTATTATTGACTGATTCTAGATAAAGTGGCTTTGAAAATAAATAAAAAACTTTACTAATGATCCTTGTTTAGGATTCTTATTTTCCTCTTCTCAGGCAGCTACAACAGTATGTAACTTAGTTATGGATATCCTACTGGATATTACCCTACGTATCTCCGCCTTCTTATTAATGCAACATACCATCTAGGAAAACATCTAGTTGACCAAGAGCACACAAACGACATAATACTGTGACATGAAGTCAGGGGAGAATGTACAGTCTTCTGAACGCCTCGAGCATAAGCCTGAGTTTGACATGCGTTCCACACTTGTCAAATGTCGAATGATGCCTCAGGACTACTTTATGTTATTTTCTAGTTTAAGTATAATGGAGTGAATGGGTGAAATGCGTTGGTCACTTCACTTACCTGGGTAGAGTTGTCTCAATGGGAATGGTTACTGACAAGATCGCAGTCTATTTATTAGTAGACCTACATCCTCTCTGGGACCAGAAAGTAATCGGACTACATATCAAATGATGGGTATACTGCTTGGTATTCCTCTCTGTCTTAATGTACGGCTGTGAGGCATGGTTGTTATTGGTAGATCGGATGAAGTCACAGTTTTCTGATCATACGTGTTTTCATGGTAGTTCTCATGTATGTTGAGACCACCATGTTTAAGGTATGCGTAAAGTACTACGTAAGGAAGAAAGTTAGTTGTGAACTTACAGTGATTGAGTTGGTTAGAATGTGAGTTGTGAATGTTAGGGCCAAAGGTTCAAGATACGTTCTTCGTTCAAAGTTGAACGTAGTGGTACTGAAGTATCCACTTGACATTTTTTTAAAATTAAATTTTGAACATTTTGTTCACCTAAATATTTTCACCCTCTTTCTCATTACAAGGTTTTGCTTGCCCAATATATTCCTATTTTCTCTCTGTTCTGTTAAAAGTTGATAAAGATTGAGTTGATGCAGTTTTATGTGTATCAATTTCGTGTCCTTTTTGAATTCACTACACTTATTGTTTCACTTTTCGTCCTCATGAACAGTCTTGATAAAGCCTTATGGAAAATAGTGTGGTCAGGATGAAAACTGAGAGAAATAATACCGTATTCTTGCTTTTTAAATCTTCGTTGAACAGTAATGCTATTCAGGAGATTCTCCAAGGTTATTTTGTGAAATATCAAAGTCAGTTAGCGCTAAAGACTTTTGCTTCACCTTTGTTGCTATCAGTGAACCGATGTCACTTTGTGATAAATACTACCTCAAAATTAAAATCCCCATTAACTCAAAGTACATTACTTTATAATGCTCATTAGTGTCATACTTCTAAATGGATATCCTGAAAGTCTAACGGGAAGCCATTACCTGTTGGTTCAACCAGTCGGAAGGTAAGCGGATGTCAGTTGAAGAGCCAAGTAAATACTGTCGCAGTATCGCGAACTAACGGAAGTTGAAAAATGCGAACCAGTGGCTGAATGGTTAATGCGTTCTCTGTGAAACCTTAAGGTCCCGAGTTCGATCCCCAACGGGGTAGTTTATGCATACTGCTAAGGATTCCCACAATAGAACGAAACAGCTGTCCATTGCTCCCAGGTTTTTAGTGGTTCTCCAACTGATGTCAGTCAGTGATAAATACTACTTCAAAATTCGAATCCACATTACCCTCAAAATACAAGTAATTTATGTTATGTGACCTGTTTCATGTTGGAAAACCTTGTGATAATGTCTTAATTTGCACCATCGTGGAATGCAGGCCACAGTTTCAGAAACAATACAATTTTATTTTGTTATATATTAGGCAAATTATACCTTGTACTCAAAGCCTGTTTACAGTCTTTGTCTGGACGCGTAACATGGAGTCAGATGTTTCTTTTTTTAACCGATATACTTTTTCGAAATACCAAACTTCCTTTTTAGACAAGCAAGTATAGCCGCGAAATTTTTGGATAATTACATTCTACCATTGAATTCTTCATCAAATAATCTACCAACAATCTCTGGTGGTTATGAAGTTCACTTATCTACTTTCTTATACGGATCTACGAATTGGTTGGAAACCATGCAAAGATTAATTGAAATTTCAGAACGGGAAGAAGCTAATATGCATGGTGGTCAAATGACTGCGGAGATATTCGAAGCCTTACCTTCAGCCAAGGATGTTAAAAGACGGCCTGCTAAATTCTATGATGAAAGTAACCAGGCATATATCAGTGATAATGAAGATGATGAGAATAGTGCAACAACAACACCTAGCGACACACAATGTACGTAAAACTTTGATATTTGTTGAAAAATGCTATGAAATCAATCACTTTTTACTCGAAAACCGCTCATTGAGTGACCTTTGAGATGTGTTTCCTAAAGTTTTAGTGCTAAGGCATTACCTATGGAGTAAATAAAGATGATAGCAAGAACAGATATCCAGCACTGACACTGATTGATAAGTATGCAATACTACAAATTGACAAGAGTGGGAAGATGTAAATAACTGGACTACACTCTTGTGGTTGAGTGAAAAATAGATTGCTCGAACGGACACCTTGCAGCCTTTGACTGACGAGTTACAAACTAGAACGAAATGGAAGTCCAGGGTGTCGCGGTCCACTTAGTTACACTTGTGAAGGATGAAAACTGTTGAAAAATCAATCAATTCGGTGGATACTGTGGAATAAACTTTGATCTATATCATTCGTTACATTACTTGTGTGTAAGAATTATGCACGTATTCGAACACCTTTTCAAGTGATCAGTTATCATCGATTCACTGGTTAATCGGAATAATGACTAACATCTAAGGTTATTGGACAAGGTTAATCTTCAAATTGCAGTAGTTGATTGTTAAGCATAAAATATACCGTGTTTAGGTTCTAATTTTATTGTTTATGTATGCTGGTATATTGATAACACTTTGGTTTTATATGGTGGTCAGTCGGTAACATTCATATCTTATAATTTGATGCATATATGTATAGGTACATATAAGTGTAAAACAGTCGTAAGGCGTTGAAAACAGCAAAATTTCATCAATTATTCAATCACATGTTAAGCTGAAGCATTAAGCATAAACTTATTGTTTTCTTATGTTCTTGAGATAAGAGTAAATGTTTGCAGTCAAGTATTGATTTGCTTTGGTACATGTCTTTAAGAACGTGAAAATCAGAGAAGAATTACGGCAAAAGAAGAGCATATGGTATAATACATTGATTCTTTTCGAAGGTCTTTTGAACATTAATGTGTATTGTCTCAAACTTCCAGTTTTTGCTATCTGACATTGATAATCAACAAGTTTGAACGATCTTATAAAGTTGAGAGTATTGGTCTTAAAATGGATAATAAAGTTGTGTCTTGTTGTGTTTCGGTCTTCTTGAGATCCTCCTTATCTTTTCTTCTACTGCTGTCTGAGATTGAATATCAAAGTTGGTTGACTGTATAAACAACATACTTCAATCATACATTCGTTGATTTCATGTTATCCAGTCCCAAGTACCGACTGAATCCCATCGATCATGTTTTTAACGACAAATGACTAATCAATGTATCAAATCTAGGCCGAAAGAAAGTCAATCGTGAACAGAATGGCTCAACAGTAACATCGCTGACTGTAGTATTGAGTGGCGCGTGTTCAACTCGTACATGAAACATCGGTCCCCTTGGAGATGCCTAAATGACGAGTGTAAGCAAGCATGACACCTAGGTTCGAGGCTTCTTGCCGGTTGCCTTCAACCAGCCATCTCACTCAACAAACCTTTTACAACCTATTTGAATGTTTAGTTTTCGTCTACTCAGAGTAATATTTTGGATGATGAATGAAAGCGAGAAGAAAACTTGGGTCTCAGCCGCTGGTTCAAATTCCATGGTGACTTAGGTTTTCATTTCATCTTCAGTAGTCTTCACCTTCTAGATCAAGCTAGCTTATAAAGTTAGTGAAGCTATTGTCGTCATTAGAAGAGATAAACGATCACAGTTCATCAAGACAAGGTTCACTTAATGTCATATCTGGCGGCTGCTAGATTTATGAGTAATCCTGGTTGGATCAATTGTTCTTTGGTTTCCTACCATGCCGAAAAGGTCTTCAAGATAGTTTTAATACCTAAAGCGTTTACCGTCATAATCAAAATAATTTACCCCGTGGTGGTGTGAGGAGGGATTCAAAGCTGATGTCGTTCTGCTGGCTGTATAGGAAGTGACCGTAATCATGTATTTCTTGCGGATGACCAGCTCCCTATGTTCATGTTGGTTTCTCCTATAGGAAAGAGAAGTTAGAAAAAGTTGAACTAGTAAATGACACACCCCTACAGTGTTCCAGCGCCAGTGATAAAGATTTTCCTTCCAGTTAGAACGTAGCTCACTTGACTCTGAATCCGGCTGCATTGTATCCATTGATGTTAAAAGACTGATTGTAGCTGGTTGTTATCATGATGATGAGTACAAGCAAATTAAACGTATATTGGTTAAAAGCCTTTCCAATGACCGCAATCAGTAGTGGATAGCGAAGAAGATGAATACTATGCAGATATTTAGGCTAATTAAGAAAGGCAATATGTAGACAATAGTCAATGAAAACGTCACCAAAAACGATGGTTATCTCTTGACATTTCTGTATAGGCAGCTTTAAAATCGGGTGGAAAACCTTGAAAATCAGCCCAAGTAGACTACAGTAACACTTGTTGTCCAACATCTAGCCCCATATTGAATGAGATATAAACGTTGATCCTCCGACTCTCCTCAAAGTTGAAAAAGCCATTTCATACTCATTATTATGGAAAACACCAGCTTCTGTTGTTTTGCCATAGCAGACATCTAGGGTAGAGGTAGGTGCTAACCAACTGACGCTAAATGCAAGTGTTTCCATCAGACCGGTTTGGATCACTGATCGTTCCCGAAGGAATGTCTTCCCATGACATTCATCGCGGAATCAGTTTAACTAATATCTTACCTTTCATTCTAGAGTCACAATCATCCGACATCCAGGTGGAGCTTCAGAACGATAATTTCTAGAAAATGACGTTGATTTCATAAGTGAATTAGAGCGAGCCCGTCAAATCTTCCCCTTTCAACGGATTCTGAAACAGGTATAATTACCGACGCCTGCAACTTGTCGTATTTCTTCATCTCAAAGCGGCATTCCATTCTGTCTATCGAGATTTGTTGTTTCAGTGTCTGACTATGAAAGGAGTACCAAAAATGTTTGTCTTAGTAATCAAAACTGTCCATATGGCCTCGCACAATCGTTTAAGGATTTACGGACAATTGTCGTTTGAGGTAACGAGAAGCAATGGCATCTGTCATGTGTGTTCACTACCACCAATGCTGTTTAACTCCTTGGTCGACAGGTCAGTGTGCATCATGCTAGATGATTTCAACTTTACATGGGCTGACCTGCTCCACAGACGGCACTCAGTTGACTTAGAATACGAGGAAGACATTCTCCTATTGGGTGAAGATGGTGACAAAATCCAAGGTCATCTGAACGCCTGGAGAGGAAATCTGAGTATGTTCGACATGGGTTTCACATCTGTCAGATGTAAAATGATACTTCGAAATTGGTGAATACTGACTCGTAATTCATGGATGGAGACTGGGATGTTGGAATGCGTCAACCACTTCATACACACGGTGAGGTACATCTAGAATTGGTTGATTGTTGACGAAATCTCAACTCGGATGCAAAAGGTTCGTTTGGTATTTGCCAGCTGACGTCCTGTGATTTTCAGAAGTCTAACTAAGTATTAAAGAATGAGTATGCAACACTGCTTTTCTGATTATTATGCTTTACGGCTCTGAAATGTGAATCTTCAAACTTTATGACTTAAAGAGACTATCTACTTTTGACCATAGGTGTATCACTACTCACCTGTTGAAATCACCGCTTTTAGAGTATTCACATCATATGTGAAATACTACGCAATGGAGTATGTTAGTCGAAAATATTGTTAGAGTTAAACGAGGTCATACAGAGGCATGACATCAGCGTATGAAGTCTCTGGTTGTCTTCTTGAGCTGTGTATGAAGAAGCAGGTTGTATGATTGGGTTCCTCGAGATGAGGAGTTTTATTTATTGTAGACTGTTGACGACACTGCTGAAAATTGATAATTGTGCGCACATGTACTCACTCTTTGTCTACTTTTTAATTTATTTAAACATGAGGATGTACCTTGCTGACTAGTCCCCACAGGTGCGAAACCTAGGTCTGGGTCTTTCTGCTCATTCCCTCTAACCAAGTGAAATCCCTCAAATTGCACCGCAATGGTGGATCACCTAGCTTACTGGCTTGGTTGCGAAGTGACCAATAGAATTTATTCGGCACTTTCGACTGAATAACGTGAAATTACTTACTTTCCAGTGAACAACTAATGTGATTTTCATCTGTTTATTCTCTTTATCTCCTTTCATGTCACTTTCTTTCTATTCCATTCTGTTTTGGTTGCTGATAGGAAATGTAGCCGAACTAAAATGTTATACTTCTATAGCAGATGTTTTTTGACTTATATTTCTGTATTAATAACCAGGCTTGGTAGTTCTGTGTGAAATAGGTACTGATAAAGTCGTTTCACCCAGTGATGAAGCGTCCAAGAACAAACAGTACAAGGAATATAAAACAGTTATCATCTTCAACGTGGACTACAATGTCGTCTTTACTTTCATAATATATAGGTAGACATAGGCAATATCGGTACTGTGATTACCCCATATCCGTATAGGTTGTTGTACTTTATTTCTGCACAGAAAGGTTTAATCGACGATAACAGTGAATCTTAGTTCTGCATGGTCCACAGCTTTACTTGCACGATAGCACATACTGAATGTGTAATCAGTTGCAAAAGTATATTCACAATCTTTCTTATGTGATTAGCTCTGAACAGAGAGAGAAAGATAGAGATGTTCTTGTGACGGTAAAAATTGCTTAACACATCCAAGCATAATCTGAACAGTAGTTTACTTGGTTGTGTCTAGCGAAGGAGTCTAGGACGTGTGTTTCGTCCTACTTAGTACTCGTCAGCCAGATGTGCCTGGATATCAGTGAGTGGTTGTCACCACTAAGACTCGAACCTCGTACCTGTCACTTCAAACTCTAAAGCGTTGTCCACTAGGCAGACCACTGAAACACTGGCTGTTATACAATGGATATTAGTTATTACTGTTTGTTGATATACTCGTAATTCTCCGTTGTTTTACTGGATCGGATTGTTTGACTTCTTTCGGCATATGGACTGTAGCGTGGGTGTGTCGATATTGCCTGAATATTTACTGGGATAATTTACTTGGTTTTGGCTAGCAGAAGAATCCAGGATGCACGTTTTGTCCAATTTAGTACTCGTCAGTTGGATGTAACTGTACCCCAATGAATGTTGTTCCCTCTGAGACTCGAGCCTCGTACCCATCGCTTCAAGCTCCAAAGCGTTATCCATCAGGCCATTGAGGCACGATAGACTATAACTTGTACACTTCGATGCAGTAAAACAATGGAGAGTTACAAGCATATCAACAAACAGTAATCATAATCTGAAAATTTGAGTAATTTCATTAAGTCAATATGTTAAGCGTTTTGTCTTGTTTGGCTGAACTGATTTGGATTTTTTTCTATATTATGCGGCCTACACTTCAACAAAATAGTTCTATTTAACAGGGTTATAAAAAATCTGCCTATGAAGCTTACCGTCTAACAATATTATCGTACTGAACACTAACTACTCAAAAGTAGTAAAAGTCATTTTAAAATATTATTTGCGTTACTACTCTTTATGTTACATCAGAAATCGTAGTGTTGTCAATAGTAAAGGAATAACAATTTGCGGTATCAGCGAATTATCAAATACTGTTAACAGCGAATCTGACTTTTAATAGTTCTGAAATTGAACTTTTCTGCCGATAAAAAAAATAGGTTGTAGATCTTATGATTATCTTACGTCCAAGAACACACTCGATCAATGAATAATGCAGATGCAACTGTCTTAAAGAGCATAACTTTCAGTGTTTTTCTGTATTAGATTGACTTATGAGTCCCATCAGAAAGAAGATGTTTACCGCTTTTCTATACATCTAGTCACTTCAAATATTAAATGTTTATTTATTTTGTATAATTACAATATGAGGTACACAGAAGGACACTTTGAAGGTTTGTGTGGATTTATCGATTTGTTTCACGTTGGTATTCATCATGGACTTACATCAGTTACAGAACTATTTGGAAGCCTAGGAGCACTAGAAGGCTGTTTCGTCCTCGTGTAGGACTCTTTAGTAGCTCCCAGCGACCGAACCCAGGATATTTAGGTTTCGTGGTGGACACGTCGCCAGTGAACCACTAGATCAGGTTTCAGATATCTACACTTTCTTACTTCTGTCAACTCGCAGTATATCGTAACTGTCGTACAATGCCATTGTTGAGTATTTGTCTTCACGTACGACTCAGTTTGTCCCACTGGTCACGACTTCTCATTAGAACTTTAGGAAATCTCATTACAATAATTCAGTCTGGAGGTTTGTGGGGTCTACTGATTTCAAACCAGTTGGGACATGAGGACAAGTACCCAACGATGGCATTGGATGAGGGTCGCCCTATATCGCGAATTGATATAAGTTGGAAAGTATAGATCATTTGATTTCGACCCAGTAGCTGAATACTAACATGTTCACCGCGAAAACTGAAGGTTCTGGGTTCGATCTCTGAGGGAGTATGATTGCGCATTGTTGAGGAGTTCGACACTAGGACCAAATAAATGTGCAGTTATGCTGGGTTTTCAATGGTTCCCTAGTTGATGTCAGTCCATGATGATGACGTTTGATTTCCTGACAGTAATCGTTTATCATTGTGCGGCGTGATGCTTAGCATTCTAGATAGGTGACCACAGTGAAACTTATCGATTGAATTCAGCCAGTCAACAGGATTAGGCAACATGAAATTGGTTGCTCTCCCGTGACCAATCAGCATATGTAATGCAGTCCTACAGGAGGTCAGTCACAGCTTGAATAGCTAAGTGGTAACTTCACTGACTGCAACACTGGGTGACACGGATTCGAATCTTAGGCTGGCCATCATTTCCGTCTAGGTTGCAGATACGCCTGGCTGACGAGTACAAACAAGCACAAAACCTGGGTTCGGAGCTTTCCTAAAGATTTCCTCCAATCAATTTACGTCTATCTGTGGTTTTGTGTGAGGTTTCTAGCTCATGAACATCAAGTTTCATAGATAGCAAGTTACCGTTGTGTGACCGAGTTGTAATGCAATGCTTGAAACTCACTTTCTCGCTTCATTCGACACAAACACTCACTGATATATAGTATAAATCTTTTCGGTTTAATCAACGGTTTATTTACTGCTTATTTCAATTCTAGCCCGTACTCGGCCACCACCTCCGAGACCAGCGCCACCAGTATCTCGAAGTCTTTTCAAAGAACAATCTGATTCATTTGGAAATTCTAATGATTATCAGAAAGTTGATTCATCTAATTCATTATCTCAAACTGATTCAGTGATAAAAATATTTACATCTTCAAATTCTGCAACTACATCGCCTGTTCATAACCTATCAGCAAAACTAAACAGTACCATTCCAAATGAACTTTATATATCATATGATAATGGATTGCATACAGTGAGCAGCTGTGTAGACTTAAACTATAGAGATGATAGTTCACTATTAAAATTCGATAACAATGAAACGAATCGTATATCATCAACTATTGACTTGATTGGATTTGAAATTGAGAGGATAAATCCATGTTCTATCAACACATCACCTGTCAACTTGTTGAATTCATGTAGTGTTGTTCCTCCACCCCCGTTACCTCCAAGACCTGATCCCATGACTTTATCAAAGTTTGAGCACTTGTAAGTTATTCCCTATTTCTAATAATTTTCTTGTCACTACTTTTATCAATGTTTTTGTTAAACAGTTTGTAATTAGCTGGTTATCTTATACATTTTTCATTTTTTGCGATATAGATCACCACTTTTTAATTTTCAGTAGTTATTTGAGTTTTGAAACAAGATTGTCTTTATGAAAATAATTTTCGTGTGCTAAAATATTCTTTCAATATCCTTTATAGTATCACTATCATGTAGTATTATGGTAAGTTTATGTTCCTGCTTTTAATCAGGGTTCAGTTATCAGTGTCTGATATTGAATTAACTTTCTTCATGGTTAAATCTGAGCAACCAACAGAACATAACACTTTTCTCATATCTTTATAGGATTACTAAGAAATGAGTTCAGGACGGAAGTTTTCCTTCATAACTGGTTAAGCTAATATCGATCGTTGAGATAGTGTTTGACGTTTTAGTGATAATGATCAAGTGACTGAAACTACAAATGTATGTCCAGCTTTAAGGGCTAACTTAATTTGGCCATTTTTAAGTAGACAAGATGAATGCGGTGCAAGAGGAATAGGTAGTCATACCTCATGTCTTTTAAAAAGAGATATCAACATTACTGTGAAGTACTGTCAGTTATTTACTTTGCTAGTATACTGTCTACTTTCTTCCTTCTGATCTACAATGGAAGGCATAAGTATGAGCAATCGATTTAGTTTTCTCAGTATTGAATTGAAGAGAAAAACAGATAGACTGAAGGGAGTTTAAAAAGTTTGTATTTAGGTTAGTTTACCTAAAACTTATCATCTTTTTCTTTGCTGTTTCCTTGTGTATTATCTGTCAAAGGTTCTATTTACAAATTCTATGATATACGATATCAAAAAGCTGTTTTATCGCTGAGCTTAAAAATAAATTGATATAGATTTTAACAAAAGTTGCTTAATAGGGTTGTTTTTTTTTCATCTTAGATGAGCTTTCAGTTCTTAGTTTTCCACAGAACTTATGCCTTATCGTGCTTGATTTACGGACGTAAAGCATACTGTAATCGATGTGTACGCATTACATGAAAGATAAGCCCTAGATTTAAGCAAGTCGCGCAAGTATGGAGTTTGCGATATTGATTAAAAGACCAGATATTTTGTACTGTAAGCTAGTTATAATATCTTAAATCAAATCAGAAGGATTGACTAACAAACCGATATGAAAACTTTACAAAAGTTCTAATTGCTACACCTGCGCGATTGCTACCGATTTTGAGCCATATTATATTTTCAAACATTGTTTCCTATTGTTATGAAGACACCAGCCAAAACGTCTACGCCTACCTGTACAACTCAAAATGGCAGTCATAGTATTCATGAAATAATACAAATTCTTGATCTGATTACCCTTAGCCTTCCTCCCACCCAATCCTTTTTCATCTTGCATCGCACGTCCGAGTAGGCATTGGCTCAGCTTACACAACATGTGTCCAAGCTAGGTCAGTTGGTGAAGGCTCTCAACTTCATGCCTTGCTCACCTATTACTCTGCATCTAAACTCGACATTACGCATATGGTGGTTCCACCATACGTAACCAACGCTGCGAATGTAGCTGTAATAAAAGGCCTGGAATCTTTTCATATCTTTTTTCTCACCGGTCAAATATCCTAGCCGTATAATTAGCAGAGCGGACTACAGTGTAGTACACTCGTCCTTTATTAGTTAGACTTGTCAATATCATAAGAGATGACACCAGTTGGCAAACTCCAAACGGGCCTTTTTTACTTGCCCTTGTTTTCGCTGCCATTTAAACGCAAATGTACACGTTTGGACACTGATCAATGTCCAGAAAGGCTCTACAGAAAGATCGCCAATTCTCTATCAATCCTCTCCAGTGATGGCTTATAGCAATATGATCTGTCTGCGTTCATCATTGGTCTAACGTCAGTGAACGTCAAGTGAGACATAGTCTTTCACTATGGCTGGTGTTGTTGCTGGTCGTTAAAGTTGTTTCTATGGGATATCTGAAATAGAAAAGGGAATAGTTCTCTGTGATTACAAAGCCTCAATGGACATCTGCTGCTAACCTGTGATCCACAGCTTTTCTGGAAGTCTGAGATTGAACTTTGATTGTCTAAAATTCATCTGTGAAGAATATACTGTCAGCATAGGAATATCGCAAGGTAAGAAAAAGTGCGCTTTTTTGACGGCAACATTTTATAGCTCTTTTTTTCATCAGCATAATCTGCTGGTCATGTGTGAGAAACTTCTCACCCACCTAGCATTGTTACTTCGTCCTTCGCAGTTACTTACACTATGATGGTAACTGGTTTTTTGTTATACCACTATCCAACAAATTTTTCTGGTATAGTAGGGTGGCAAAAATCAAATGTGTCAACAAATATAGATCATTGGATCGTTTTGATATGCAAGACTGACTACCACGTCAAGGGTGCAACTATCAGTCAGTAGAAAGGACGAGAGAGTTGATCGACTTGTTTATAATTTTTTGCCAACCTCTGCTTCTTGTAATGTATAAAATTTGCCTCTTTATAATTTGGTCAAAAACACTATACATCTTTCGCCAACTCATTGTTGTGCTTGTAGAATAAAATGATAGAACTAGTGTATATATTTGTGCATATTTACTTGTTCATAATTCTCTACTGAATAACTTTTCTTTGAAAATCGATTGCAGTATTATTCGTTATGATTGAGAAAACTTATACATTTTTTCAAAGTGTTTTCTAGGTTTCACAAGTTTAGAATTGAAATATTGTTATTGTTAAACTGATTAATTTGATTATGTTCAAGGAAACATTGGTATATTCTCGGTATTTGCTTCATTCTTTTAAATTACTGATAACTGATGAATCTGAGTAATCGAAGTACTTTAAGTTACTGATTTCATAAATATTCTTCTGGATTTACAGATGCTAGTTTTGATTACTGTATAAATTTTTATTTTGGAAAATTTTGTATTTGTAAACGTTTAGTGTCGGTTGATATTTTGTCGTTAATTGACTATAGAAATGATGTTATCGAGACAATAAAACTTCATGAGACCAGTCATTTCAATCAACTGGATTCTTGTTTCTCTATGTGGTAGTAAGATTATTTACATGAAACTCTTTGGTCATCCATTAACCTTGAAATTAGTAGTCCTTGTCAAAGTTGTCTTTTAGATAAAAACTTCAAACTGCGATTTCTTTCCTGATTTGTTTTAAATATATTGCAATGAATTAGATGTTAGCTACTATTTTACAATAAGTCCTGATATTAAGGTAGTGAGCTGATTTCACTCTAATCAACTTCCTTTAATTCGTATATTACGTAACCTCTTAGTTAGTTTCTAATTGTAAACTAAGATAATCGCTATCGTAGTGGATTCTGACTGGGGTTAGATACTTGAAATTGATGTGACTGAGAATCGATTACAGTGGCGCAAATGCATTCACACATCGGCCTTATCAGTCAGCATTAACATGGAACCTAGCATTACTGCCTAGAGTTCCAAGTTGCCACACCTTTTATCAACATGTAAAGTTGTAGAAGACATCGAGATGAATGATAGGGAAATAAGGAGGAAGTTAGTCGAAGTGATAGAAAACCACAGATAGAGAACAAAAAGGGGTGAAGCAATAATGAAATTCGGTATGGAAATTTAAATAAAGATAATATTAGATGCCTATGCGCCATTGAATGCGATTCTGAGCCATATCACCGGTTGTCACGTAGACTTCTGTCAGGAAGTTTACATTTCTCTACATCAACAGTCGGCAACTTCATGAACTGATATCATGCCGCAGTCTGGATGGCTTCAATCTTCTCATGGCTTGGATTCAATTCAACCTTGAGCGATTAGGCTGCTAAGTTCAAGGAGTTGGAGAAGGCAATGGTAACACGTGATACCTGGCATGAAAAATTGATGGTTTATTAAGACAACTTCGTAATTCACTTGCAAGAATAGCATCTGGAACGATGAGCGGGACTGTTTGAGAAGTAGTCCAACTAACCTGCAATTTTTGTTTTGGCTACTCACTTTGCAGTCATAACCCGAATGGGATATTGTCATATGGTCTGTTGCTCTAACTGAGCTTGATTACTCTGTAGATAGCATGAGATTAGGAAGCGCAACTGACCCTGAAACACTAACTGTGGAGGTATTTACGAGCGTCAACCTTTGATCGTTGTTTGAACTTTGGTATTAGCTTGGATATATGAGTCAGGTGTGATCTCATTTGGTCTATCCCAGTCTCTACATATCCTAGTATTTAAGAAAGGAAAGAAATCCTCATGCAATAATTAGAAGGAGATCAGTCTGATTAAAGTGGTTTTTAGGAATCTTGGTTATGTATTTTTAGATACTTAACTAAAAATTAGGAAGATGGGATTCGAGAAAACCAGGTTGGTTTCAGACTTTGCTGTGGGTATATTGATGAGATCTTCAACCTATCTTTAAACACAGGCACACTTACAGAGGTCTGACACTGTGATTCGATCTGCATACTTTTAGTTTTTATGGAAGCTATCCTACTGGGAGGCCGTTATTGACAGTGCTGACGGCTTTATAATCAGGTGCGCATGTTCATGTTAGAACCTATGGTAGGTCATCGAATTAGATATGTGTTAAGTGGTGTCTTCGAATTCTCTAACTTAAGCATCTCTCTTTCTCTCACCTCATTGATTGCTTATTTAACTCGCAGGGACTCCTTAGTCAAATTAGAGTATGCAGAGAAGGTAGAACTGTCAAGAGAATACTCTGACGAGGTATAGGGTCCTCTGGATACTGAGCAACAACTCATGAATGTTTGAGATGAGTTTGTCATCTGCCAGATACAAAATGTTACTTCAGAGCTGGTCTGTGTTATTACCTTGTCTGACTATGGAGAATAAATTGGTTTGGCGTACTGACCATTTCATTCACTTGAGAAGTCATGCTAGCCGAGGTCACTTGGCGGTCTTTGAAACCTCCTCCAAATACTAAGGGTTTGATTTGCATGCATCAATGCAAACCACTTATGACAGTGAGATATCTAACTGCCACTTAAGGATCGAGTGTACAGCCCACCATTGCTCTATGTCCCATTTAATGAATGTGAAACATAGTTGATGGAGTTAAATGATATTGTAAGCTACCACATACCCAGTTACAGTTGCCTTCGTAGAATAGAACATATATCGTGGATCCACCAATTAAGAAATATATAGGATATAAACAGTCTTGGGTAAAAAAGCAAGTTAGTTGGTCAGGTTGTCAACCTTCATCGATTGACTTGATTAGGACAAGTGTTGCTCATCTCTGGTCAGCGTCTGCCTCGTTACACAATGCTGAAGTAGGTTTAGACTGTAGAAAGAGTAAAGATAAGCAGAATACTACATGGTATCAATCCATGACATCCCTGAACCGTGTAAAGAAATGTAAACTTTCCGTGTCCTTTGGGACAAATGTGAAGGTGAAGGCTGGCAGTTGTTTGCAATATGGCAGTTACATCTACAAATTATTTTCATTTAGATCGTAATGTTATCACTATTTCTCTCTTTTTTGTACTTTGTATCTTTCTGTGACATTCGCTAAAACTATTTTTATCAATTCATTCTCTCTTTGTTGCCTGCTACCTTAATATACAGACGTTACTCAGTATTTCCAGATCCGATTTTGATAATATGTGTGCAGATTTTTCCTGTCAGTTTAGCAGTTTAGAGTAGAGCAAGTTTTTGCAGATCTGTGACATCTCACTCGGAGCAAGGCAAGACTACTATGTCATTGATTTACCTTATTTAACACTAATCAAATCATAACTTCATTCTCTGTGTAAGCATGCACACATTCGTGTAGTAGGCAATGAGGCAACTATATTGTGTGAAGAGTAACGCTACCTGGTTGCCCAGTTCTCAGTAAGTGGAGTAAGGTTCCACTGGTAGAAAATCAATTGCTTATAGCAATGAACCCCAGCTCCTCATCCTGTTTATGAATCAAAGGAATAAGGAGACATGAATTAAGAAAGGATTTACAAGCACACTTTTTCATTCGCATACTTATGAGTGTGGCAAGGAAAGAAAATAGTGATCTTTTTTATACACAGTGCACCCCAACCCTCTAAATACTTATAAAACCTTAAGATGTGAAAAACCATAAGTTCTTCACTTCGTTATCAATCTGAACACAATTGAACTGAAAAGTGTTATCGTGAATTACACTCACAGACTCATATTTCTGTAATAATCACTTATTAATTATTTCTTGAGTAGAATTGTGTATATGAGGTGATAGTACCTGTTTTTTTTCTTAAAAAAAAAGGACATATATTTCTTTAGCTCGCTTTTGTGCACCACCATCTTTTTTCTTGTGTTCTTAATTATTTATGACCTGATTATTAAGGTGAAAGAGAAAATGTAAGGCTTATCTTGTGTAAAAAAAGAACAGAAAAAGAAATGGACGCTAAAATATCTGCCAAATAACGTTGTTTTCTTTTGAGCAGAACTCTCTTTCATCTATAGTTGTGTGTGTGTGTGTGTGCGCACGCATCTAGGGTTATGATATGAATCTTCACTTGGTTTGACTACTTTTCTTGTTTCATTTTCTTTCATTACTAAAACCATTACAAGTCAAAGAATGTATATATTCATCAACTATCATATGTAATGTACAAATATGTACTTACACTAATTAACTACAAATAGTTTTCATTTGAACCTTTACAAGAATAACTATAGATATATACCAGAAAGAGATTATTTTGTCCATATGACAGTTTGTACTGATCACAAAACAATGTGTTTATTTAACATCTTTAGATAATTTATTGTTTACACTATGTGATATGATAGTGTTGTTTAATTAAAACTTCCAATTCATTATTTTTATCTATTTGTAGTAACAATAATGATAGTGATAATTTTTATGTCTATTGTGTATTGTACTACTTATTGCTTGAAAATTACTTCGAAAACTATAATTATAATTTTTGCTACGTTGATAGAGATTTTTTATTTTAAGGGTAGTATTTATCCTGAACTAACTAACATCATTTGTTGACCTAGTCACAGGAGAATTTTTGTTAGACCTAGAATATGTAGATGATATAGTCCTGTTAAGTGAAGACATTGACAAGATGCACAGTCTTCTGAACACTTTGAGTGAGGATTTGAGAATTTTTGGGATGCGGTTATCACCACCCAAATGCAAATTTTTGCTCCAGGATTGGTCTTCAGCGGTGCCACGACTAACAATAAAGTGTGAAGTGGTTGAGTGTGTCGACCACTTCACTTACCTGGAAAATAGGATCAAGCCTGGTGGGTCAGTTGCGATGAAATCTCTGCACGGATACAAAAGGTTCGATTGGCTTTTGCCAGTTTACGCCACCTATGGCGCCGCCGTGATATCCGTTTGTCTACTAAGAGTCACGTGTACTGCCCAGCAGTCCGGTCTGTTCTCCTGTATGGCTGTGAAACATGGCCATTGAAAGTGGAAAACATGAGAAGGCTTCAAGTTTTTGACCACCGTTGCCTTCGTAGTATAGACCGTATTCCGTGGTGTCACCACGTGAGTAACGCAGAAGTCAGGAGTAGAGTTTCAGGGAGAAGAGGTAAGTCAGTTGACGAGGTTATGAACCTTCATCGATTGAGACGGTTGGGACACGTACTACGTATGCCTAACCACCGATTGCCTCGTCACACAATGTTGGCCAAAGTATGCCCAGGCTGGAAAAGGACCGAGGTGGCCAGACTTAAACATGGCACCAATGTATGAAGTCTCTGACTGTTGATTTGAGCCATGTGGGGCGATGCAGACTGGGTGGTTGGGGTCCGCGGGACAGGAGGAACCAGTGGTTGGAGACTTTAGGGGATATGGCTGAGAACCGATGTCAGTGGTGTAGATGTATACACACATTATCGTCATCTTAACGACGCTATACCGAATCTCACCATGTTGTCATTCCTCTTTTCCTTCTTCTCGTACTTAATATTTCTTTTGACTGCATTCTCTTATCTTCATGCTTCACCTTACGATCTTCCTACTTGATGTAGTGATATGAGGTGTGGTAACTCTGACCGTTACGTAGTAATGCCTGA